TTTCTGTGGTGCTTCTGGTCTCAAATAAAATCCAACCTTTCTTCCTTTTTTTTTTTTTTTTTAAGGGAATCATGACAAAGCAACATACAAACCATTTCCTAGCTCCAATGAAATGGGTGTCTGTTGACTCCCGTGGTTCACATTGTTTTGAAATTTCCTGAGGAAGATAGGTTGTAGCAAAGAAAAGTTAAGTTGCCATCTTTCATATTTGTACTGCAGTCCAGACATTTTTGTATCTCAGTGAAATTCCTGACTGCAACTTGTCAGACCTAAGCAGATGACTGTTAGTCTGATGGTATAGATTGTATTCTAAAAATGTATTGTGTCAGATGATACACTAATACCTACCAGCTTGAGTTCCTTCCAGCATACGTTGGGACAGATCTTGTGACTAAGAGAGGAGCAGTAGATCTGATATAGTTTGACTTTCATAAGATTTTGGCAATATCTGATATGTCTCTCCAAAGTACAAAAATTTGGATTAATTCAAACTTCCGTAATGCGCATGCATAGCTGATGAAATAAATGATTTGCAGCACTCTCAAGCTGGCGTTGTATCGATGGAGTCCTACAGAAATCTCCCTTAGTCTGATACTCTTCAGTATTTTCATGACTACTTGGAAGAGGGGCTAGAAAGGCATGTACAGGAATGCTGTAGGACACAGTCTGGGATAGGATTGCAAGCCAGTTGACAGGGTTGAGAATTCAAACTTATCTTGATGTCTTGGGAAAATAGTGTGGAATAAATAGGATGGAATTCAGCATCACTTCATCAATGCAACCATGTACAGTGCTTTGGTATCAAGTGACTTTCTGGCTCAGTTAGGGAGAAAGAATGACTAGGCAGCAAGTCTATAGAATAGGATCAGAGGGTGGATCACAGTCTGAACACAAGTTAAATATGTGAAGTTCAAGTGAAAAAGACAGAAAAAAGCCACCCCAGCTTCAGTAAACAAGAGCATCAAGCTCTACTCAGCACTGCTAAAGCCTCATTTGGAGCAGAGTGTCTGGCTTTGGGCACCACACTTCACCAGTGATACAGAACCAGTTATTAAGACTAGAGAAGAGAGATTTGTTAGAGGTTTGTAGATTATATGAGGGGTTGCTGTAGAATGGAAAGGTAACTGACTGTTCTCTCCATTCACAGAAGTCTTGGGCTTGTAGAGCAGCTCAGCAATGCACTTTGCTGACCAGTGAAAGAAGCATGTGGACTTTCCCTCATGGGCTGTGTTAAATGCAGGTTAGAGAAGCTTCAGTCACAAGTGGGTTCGGGATAGCCAATTTGGATGCTAGGCAAGTGTTGGGACTGACTAACCTGTCAAGGTCTCTCCCACTGTTGTTTCCTGTGATCCCATGCTGAGTTTCTCATCTCTAGACTGCTTAGTGTTCTCCCAGGCTGCTCGTTAACCAGTTCATTTACTTGCTCTGTTACAAAAAGATGAACCAATTAAAATCAGAAAAAGGTGTTTGCGAGCCACTTTTTCTCACAGCATCAGTGGCTGAGTAACACTAAATGTCAGGTATTTCAAGCCTACACAGTGCAGCAAGGATAGGAGATGACACAAATAGACTTCTGTCATGCAAATGAAAGTCTGGTATAAAAATAAGAGCATCAGGGTTTTCAGCAGAACCATGAGCCCCTGCAACCTCTTACCTCACTTTCAGACTCTGTACAGCCTAATTATAGTTCTGCAGATGGTGTTTATTTTATTATGCACATGCGTAAGGGGAGAACTGGGGAGAGCTCTGCGTCTTGGATGGCAGAGTGCTCCCTGTGGGCATAAATAATACAACAACTGCTTTTATTAGTGGTGTTGTATCAGAAATAGTGTGGCTATTATATGGTAATGATGTATAATAAGACCCAGTAACCTCCTTTAAACTTTTCCTTGGAAATGTGAACATATTTCTCTTTTTTACAGCACAGATGATGCAGGCTGATCCTGAGAAAAGGGATTAGGGTTAAACCACTATGTTTGCAAAGGAGGTATTTCTAGTGGAACTCAGAACCCAAGTGCTTAGGTTGCAAGGGAGAGAAGGCATCAGGTCTCCTGAAATGCCTGGGCCACATCTCATGTCAGTCTCTCTTCCTTGTTATTCCTCTGATGGTAGTTGGCTTGGTCCTCAACTCTCCTAAATTATCGCTGCTGGGACCATTATTGGAAAAGTGATTTAAAAAAAAAAAATAATTTTTTTTAAACTAAAAATGCTTAAAGATCCTCACAAGGACTGCAGAATAATATATTTAAATAGCACATTTCTGTGTTGGGGGAATTGTGGCTTAGATAGCTAATTCCATCTCAAAAGTATTCCTTAGAATTTGCTATACTGCATAAGTGGTGAAAAGCAAAAAGCCCAGAAGAGAGCAAACAGCTGAAATTAGCTATAGCTTGCACCTGAGTATTAGCGTGCATCTCATCTGAGCCACACAGTGACAGTCATCATAGAAGCTGTTATAATGGCTGTAATTAATGACAAGAGAAACAGAGCTAATGTCATTTTCTTACACTGGTCTTTAGTCTCAGAAGTCCAGGGCTCCTAGGCAGTTTAATAAGAAAGGGTTTATCAAGCAGGATCCTGAAGAATTTAGTGACTATGGTGGAAACAGGGAGGTGCTGTTTCTAAGTTCTGCTGTTCCATGTTTGCTTTGGACCTCAGTGGTCAGCAAATGCTAATCTCATCCATAAGTTTTGGCAGTTGATACATGCTGCTCTCTGATTTTTCTCTGAGGACTGTGTGAGATGCGAGACACACTTCAATTAAAAAATGACAGTTTAATGTGGTTATTCTTAGCAAACCAAACCAAATAAGAGAAGATATTTGTAATACATGGTAGTGCTTGATTTCTTTCAAAACCAATGAAAGTTTTGGCTTCCTCTAGTGACAGAAAAGTTTGGACAATTTTAACCCTGAAAGCTCAATTTATCCCTTGTTTATTACACTAACAAAAAAACACTTTGAAAGGAAAAACAAACTAGAAATTATTACTGCCAGACATGCACGGAAATGGGATGTGAAACTTGAGTCTACCCAAGCTGGGTTTAGAATGTCTGCTACCACCGTGAAGGCCAAGTAGTCAGCTGATGCCAACCCCTGCAACAGGCAACTGGGTTGATTTACATCAGCTGAAGTGCTAGCCTGAAGTCCCTGTTGCCTTTATATATCAGAGCATCCAGGCAGATTGAATGAATCTGTCCGTGACGCAGATGAGTATCTTGTACATGGTCAGTTTTCCTCATAGGCACCATTTTGTTATTCAGAATTTTATTAAGGTCTATTAATAAGCTTTGAAATTTCTCTAAGTGAAGACACATGTAAGAAATACTGACAGAAGAACAGTGTCATACAATGATCAGCACTTGTTTCCCAAGAGGCATTTAAAATTTCTATCAATTGTTATTTAATGAGAAAAGTCTCATGCCAAAAATATCATTTTCTTAAAGAAAACAGCAGCAGCTCCATGCATTACATACCGTGAGCTGACTTCAGGCTGCCATCTGCTAAACCAGCCCAGCAAAACAGGCTTTCAGCTCAGCGCTGAGGTGGTTCTTTTCACTGAAAATAAGTTCAGCTGGCACTGATTTGTCACAGTCCCATCAAAGGGAAGACTGAGAGGTTTTGACATGCCCGTGGTGTGTAGCCAGGCTTGGATTGCAATCTTGGTATTTTGGGATCATCATCTATAATTATCAAAGGGCAGTGAGAATCCATGAGGTAAGGAGCACAGCTCCTTATTCCGCTGCTGGTACCAAACTGAAAAGACTGCAGTAAATTTGGAGTCTCCTGTCATTTTGAGGTGAGAGGGAGTTATTTATTCTGCATTTCTAATGCCTGGATATAAGATCGTTTCCTTCCCACAGTGTTGAAATTTAGGGTTATTCTTATACTGTGAAAGAGCAGAATTTCTTACCGCTGTCTGCTCTTCCATCCTCTCAACCAGTCAGGAAAAGCAATGATTCACACGAGAGTGTCATGAGCAATCACTGGGTTGAAACCAGTAGGTTCCATATCAATTATGGGACAGTCAGATTACCTGTTTTCTGAAGCGTTGCTTGGAAGGTTCTCTCTGGGACTGTGAAGCCACATACATATCTGTTCAGCAGAGCACCGTCTACCAAGGATTTCTTGGTAACAAACACAATACTGCTGCAAAATGTACCCCTGTGGCTTTCCCACGTTCAATGATACTTAGAGATGCTCCTTTTAGTGCCTTGATCTGCAGGCTATAAAGACACAGCAAGGGGCAATCTAGTGAGGAGCAGGGAGACGTCACAGGAAGAGCCAACTATGCTTTGGTGAGAATCTGCATGTAAATAGAGATGGAGCCAGGAAAGCAACGGGTGAGGAGGAACGAGTGGTTCTAATAAGAGCCAGGTAAATGAAAAAGATGGAACGCAGAGAATGAGAGGCATATTTCACAGACGTGTATTCTCTGCCTTCTTTGGTGCTGGGTGGCAGGGGTCATTGCAGTAACTCATGCTGTTGGTGGAGGAGGGTTTCCAGTATGTCAGCCAAGGGAGTGGCAATGAAGGAAGAGGAGCTTAGAGTTCTGGTGTCAGTAGCATAATTTCCTGCTGCTTTTCTTAATGTTGGGGGGGTTTCGGTCAAAGCCTTTCCCTGCAATGCTTCTTCTTTCTCCTTTCACTTACTTTCAGTTCATTAACTGCCCCAATGCCAAGTAAGTCTTACAAATGTTGAATTAATTCCAGTCCTCAAAGATCACCTTCAGCTGAGGGCAGTACTAGGAACTCTGGCAAAAAAATTGGCAAATCCTGGTGTTTAGATAAGGCAACGCAATCTACTTGTAAGAACTTAAATAATCCTGTATACCCTGACTTTCAAATATACTCAGTGCCAGAGGGCTTTTGAACTTCCTGGTACAGAAACTCCATGCTTCAATGGGAATGTGATGCAGAACAAGTGTGGAGAGGAATAGCTGAAAGGATGCTGTGATCATTTCTGGAGTGGAGCCTCCAGTAATCTCTGGTTTGCTTTGTTAGGACCTCTGTGAAGACCCCCACTTGTTTGTGAATGGAATCAGCTCCCATGACTTACACCAAGGCACCCTGGGGAACTGCTGGTTTGTGGCTGCATGCTCCTGCTTGGCTCTGAGGAAGACCCTCTGGCAGCAGGTAGGTGATCACGTGCTTGGCGCATGAAAATAAAGCTAATAAATCTTGGTTGTTTCCCTGCCTATCAGCCAGTGTTTTTCCCTCTAGGCCTAATGTGCCTCTGATGAGTGGTGAATTTTGGTGGATTCAAATCTTCCCCTTCTTTAGAAGCTCATTTTTCATGTTAGGAGACCTCCCTACTCCACAGTCCCATTGAGCACCAAAGAAGAGATATAGCAAAGCCAGAGTGCAATAGGTTCTGTTTGTCTTTCTCTGCAGATCAATTTGAATTTTACCTTCCTAAAAGATTCTTTGAAGTGGGACTATATTTGACTTTGTACCAAATTCACCCTCTTTTTTCACTGCTTCATCTATTTAAGGTCAACAGCTCATGAAGCTGAATACCAGCATAGTGCATGCTCCAGGGCAGTCTGCCCTCTCAATAAATCTTAACATAGTGCATTTGATGAACTTTCCCTTGCATGATTTCACAGGTGATTCCAGACTTTAACGAACAAGAATGGGACCCTAAAAACCCAGAGAAATACGCTGGGATTTTCCGTTTCCGTTTCTGGTGCTTTGGAGAATGGACAGAGGTGGTTATTGATGATCTGCTGCCAACAATGGACGGGAAGTTGATCTACTGCCATTCCAATGCGAAAAATGAATTCTGGAGTGCATTATTGGAGAAAGCTTATGCAAAGTATGAGCTAGTTCATTATCCTTTTAGTCCTCAGTGCTGTCCCTTCTATCCCTCTGTTTGTTTTGTCTTTCAACTCTATCATACTTTCCATAGTTTTGCTGCTAGTAGAGAACCTAAAAACGATTGAAAACTCCTCCTTTAATCTGCAAGGAGGACGTGAATCATAAAAGAGTGCAATGCACTCTACTTCAGCAGCCCAAAGCTTTAAGGATCATTACACTCCTTTCCTAGAAACCCGGGAAAGGTTTATCTGTAATCTGCTGTTTTGTTTTGTTTCACTCTGGTTTTTTTTTTCCTTTGGTGAGACACAAATGTATTACCTACATTCAAGCCAAATTAGAGCACTTCTAACAGCCACTTGGTGACTGCGAATGTTCTGTGTTACCTCCAGGCTGGCTGGATCTTACGAAGCCCTAGATGGAGGCAGCGCTGCAGATGCAATTGTGGATTTCACTGGAGCAGTGGCAGAATCTATTGATTTGGTACAGGGCAAATATGGTGAGATTATTTCTGAGCAGATGAAGCTGTTTGAAGACTTGTTGAAAGTGCATAAAAGAGGCGGGTTGATCAGCTGTTCCATTACGGTATGTATAGAGAGCTGGATTTTAAGACTTAATTTCAATGAAAAAAATCTGGAAAAAATACCATTATTAGTATAAGTGTATTGAGTATGTCCTTCATTTGTATGCTTTGGAAAAGCTTTGTATGGAAAAAGCTAACAACTTGGCAGTGCTGTCAGCCAAGTACAACTCCATGAGCCACTAAATACAATCACAAAACCGCAAAGCCATTTGTGCTGCCACTTTCCTGTGGATCTGAAATGCTATTCTTTCTGAATGGCCACAGTTGTGTATTGACCCGAGGTTAATCCACCTAGAATGCCCTAATTTACAGGCCAGATGGCAGCGTTCAATTTCTTTATTTCTCGGGGAAATCTGTTTACAGAAAACAGTTCTGCCGGCACTGAGCTGCTGAGACTTCTTGACTTTGGTTGTGATGATGCAGTCGTCTCGTCAGTGTAACACTGGAGCTGAGCTGAAAGGCTTAGCTCACTTGGTTATTCAGGTAGTACTGTTTGTTAATAAGACTCCCCACTAGAATTAACCAGCAAAACTTGCCTACGCTGGCTAATGTGAGGCAGCTAACTCAGGTGCGTACATCAGGAGGCCAGAAATTCCCTTAGTAGAGAGGGGATGGCTTCCCCAAGGGTGTTACAGGGTTGCCTTCTGTGGAAGCTTTACCTCTCTCCATTCACTTGAGGTGCTAGAAGGCAGATGAGTAGCAGCTCCCAAAGGGTGCTATATACTTCACAAACCACAGGCAGACAAAGGCCTTGCGCAGCCCCTTACCGTAGAAGGGAAACCAGTGACAACTTGGCTTACCTCGCCTTCTATCAAAGTCTGCAATGTCAGGCCATGACTGGGTTAGCACTGAAATTCTCACCTTGTCTGAAGCTGTTACTGCATGTGGAGGGCTAACAAACTGCCATGGCACCTGAATATTTCCTAAAGGATTGCTTTTAAATGATTAAAGTGCAGCCTGCAGGAAAGGGATCATTCTCTAGAAGTTGCAGGGTTGGCATCTAGGTGCACTTCAGCATCTTACTCCCATGCCCTCTGCTTCCAATTTAAGACCTTAGCTAAGGCTAATCTTATGTGGACTTAGTTAAATCACTTAAATGCTTTGCTTTAATTTCCCCGTCTGTGAAACGAACATCATATTACTGCAGCACTTAACTATTTCATACCTGTAGTGTAAACTGGTGGACCCCCAAGTGTTGGTTCATTCAGAAATTCTTGCAAGTATCACGGTAGTTGTGCAGTTGTCTAGAACAACACAAAATCAGCCATGTTTGGAGATGCCTGAGAACATTACCTGTTTAGCTGGCCCTGGCCATGCACTGCCCTGCACCAGCGCCATGGTACCAAAGCGGATCACGTGGTACCTTCTGGGAGATGAATTTGAACCTGAGAACGCAGCTGGGATAGAACAGGAGACCTGAACTGTCCCTCCCAGCAACATCAGGCAACAGCTCAGAAACAAATTATTCTAGGTCTTTGGTGTTTGATTTACCTTTTTCACAAGGTCTGAATTTTTATTTAGAAAGAATTCCATCTGGTTTGCTCAGACCAGGCTGGCGGACCAGACTTCCTGGTGTGAACTGTTGTTATAAATATCGTTTCTGGGATGATAGGTTGCTCCCAAATGCTAAAGCAGTTCAGCTTCTTAACGTGGATCTGGTGAGGAGGTAAGCTACGTACTGGGAGTTGTATTTCAAACAGCAATTAATTAGGGAGTTGTAATACCTTCACTTCTTCCTGGCATTATATTTCTGCCTGTCAAACGCAGATGCTTCTAAACATTGATTACACAGGGGCTGTTCCTACTGGTTTGGCTTGACTCGTCTGCATTTATCACTTTTTGATAGATGTATTATACACACAGTGAAGGTATAGAATATGTAATACTCAAGTGGCTTCATCGCTAACATACAAACATGTCATCATTTTCCTTGGATTACAAGATAGCCCTGAGCTTCACCATTTAGAAATTTGAACAGACAGTAGATGTTTAAATATCTCAATTAAATAAATAAATCCCTTCAGAATGAGGTGGGAAAGGCAGCCCAGCAGTAAGAAAAGCCTGGGGGATAATAAAGGCAGCAGGAGAGGTTACAGATTCCCATGCTGTCAAGGACTCTTGTTTGGTTTTAGTTGTGAAAAATGCAAGTGAAAGTGTTACATTGGAGAAAGCCCAAACCCACTGGAAATGTCAGCCAGTCTTGGTGTAACACATGAGCTGATTCTTTAAGAGCTGCTGTCGGTGAAAGGCAAAGAGGTTTTGGCGAGAGTCTCACAGTTGCCAGACCATCTGTCAGTTCCAATTTGATATAAATGTATCTTTTTTTTTTTTTCCTGATTTCTTATCTTTGGGGATGGAACACTGTTGTATCAGCGCAACACCTGCCTTAGGAGAAGGACCCCGTCTGTTTAGACCAGAGAAATTTTGAAATGGGTAAAAATATCTGAGAAAGTATTATGTGCATTCCATAACTCTAATAAGTCCATCTCTCTCCACCAGGGCAAAGGCTTGCTTGATCATTGAGCTCTTAATTAGGTTATTACAAGTTTGCACACAAGGATCTGCACTGAGTCTAATCTTCCTTCCTTGCTGTCCAAGGGAGTGAGTGTCTTAAGGCCCAACGGGTTATAGCCCAATATAGGTGAGAGACACTCTGGGTATGGCTCAGTGCAAAGATGCCCATGCTGGCTCCAGCGAGGGTGTGATGAATCCGGAGGCACGACCATTTGGATTGTTTCTGGTTCAGAAGAAGGGCTATAGTACTGGCACAGCTTTACTTTTTCCACTATCCTGCCCGGTACGTGTTGCTCAGGAGCAGCATTGTACTGGCTTTGTAAAGGGCCAGTCATTCAAAGCAACTCCAGCATCTTTATATGACACTGCTTTTCTGTTTTTAGATGTACTTAGGAGATTTTGATCTGGATGCATTAAATGAAATTGTGGTCTTTTTCTGAGCTTGACAATTTTTATGTATTCTTAGATCAGCATCTGATCAGGCCTAGGTCATCCAGCAGCACAGTTTACTGCCTGATCACTGCTGGAAACTAGGCTTCTTATGTGAAGTCTATGAGAAGCAAACCCAGTTCCTAAGAAAGCCTGCAGATCTGCCAGTTGCCACGTAAGAGAGGCCTGCCAGGTCACGAGTGAGGTACAGGACAGGTTTGACAAATGGCTAGAAAGTTTTCTTGCCTGTGCCCTCTATTTTTACCCACTGCCAGTAGTTCTTCCTGGGTATCAAATTTACCTCAACACAGAAACAGGTATTGAACTCACTGGCTCAATCCTTTGGCCCCACAAAGCATCCAGTTGAGGACACCACCAGACAGTGCTATGTCTGAGCCCGGTCATCGATATTCAGAAGAGCCATTTTGCAAAGATGACAAGATTTTGGAAGGGCTGATAAACGTTGTCCATCAGCCCAGTCTTTAACTCTCTGAGGCCAGGAGGATACAGAATGGCTGTAGCAGGCAGTATTCTCCTATGCTCTGGTCTTCTGTCTGCTAGCACTTGTCTGGCACTATCACGCAAAAGACCAGACTAGTGAGCCACTAGTTTTGAGCCCCAGTGCTGTTGTTTTCCTGCATAGTCGAATCACTTGGGAAGGGAACATATGGCTCTGCGAAAGAAAACAAGCCTACCCCATCTTGCCCCTTGAACGTGTAGCTCTCAGGTACCTCAGTGATGTGAGTTCTTTTTTTTAATTGTCGTTCTTGGTGCTAAAGGCTTCCTCTGGTAGTACCAATGAAGAGGAGACAGAGATGGGTCTTGTCATCGGCCATGCCTACTCAGTGACCGCAATTCGGAAGCTGCGCCTTGGAGAAAGGCTTATATTCTCTTTTAAGGCAGAAAAGCTGTTCATGATCAGGCTGAGGAATCCCTGGGGAAAAAGAGAGTGGAACGGTGCCTGGAGTGACAAGTAAGTGCTGCAAACCCAGTGTCTAAGGAATGAAACTGTGATTAGGGCCACTGGACGTTAAATGCATGGTTAAACACTGTTGAGACACTGCGTCAGTCTGCAATACTCAGTGATGGCTGAACCGTTGTGCCATCTCTTCCCACGTATAGCATTCTTTGAGCAAATGAACACATCCTGGAGGAGCCAGGCGGTTATGGCTTCCTGGACCTTAGTTTACTGTATACATCATTGTTCTGGCACACTGGAGCATGAGTAGAAAAATAGCCTACGATTAAGGTGATGAGTCAAGAACATGAGGTTTGTTCCCAGCTTCACCACAGTTTGTCTGTGACTCAGTTTCTCATCTGTAATTGCTAGCTGCTGGGGATGGTATGTGTCTTTTATTCTTAGATAATTTAAGTGACTGGTAAAAAATGCTGTAAAATTGCCACATTTGTGATTTCTTGAATTATTTTCTAATGAATTTTAATATAGGCCATGAGCTTAGCAGGCACCCCTACAGAGACAGAAATGATTGCTGGAGGGGATGTATTCCATCACTGGCAATTTACACATGAAAAACATTTAACTAGGATGTTACAGTTCAACACTGTGCTTACCAGCCACTCTTAGCATTTAATAATGCAATGTTCTTAGCAACAGCATATTAAGTTCTTATCTTCCATACTTTAGCTAGCAAAAATCTATTACTTTCAAAGAGTTTGGTTCAGGTGAAGTGCAAAGAATGTGCAGAAGAGCTACTGTGTCTTGTTTAACTTAAGCCCTGTGTTGCCCACTAGCCCTTGTCTTGGCACAGCTGTTTTTTCCAGTGGAAGCACTGAGAAGTCTGAGGTTGGCCCATGGTTTTTGGCCCAACAGAATTAAATTGAGAATTTCCAGATAGGTTAAGAAAATGTCCATTAAGGCAAGCAACCTCCCCTCCCTCCTGCCAACCACCTTCAACTTTATCCTCCAAGTACTTTTGGAAAGGGAGTGAGGAATTGTGGCTCTGTTTATCTAATGTAACACAGTAGGGAAGGGGCCCGTGCTGCCTTCTATCATGTTGTCTGATTTAAGCATCAGACACCTTGCATTTAAGATCCTGTGCTCCCCTGCAGTCAGTGGAAAGAGGCAGATGCCTCCAGGGGACACGTAAGTTACATGCTAATGCAGGCCATGAAGTGTCTACGCAGTGTAGTGTTACTCTGGAAACTGAACACTAGGCTTGTGCTGCAGCAGTTTCTTCTCAAAGGCTCTCTGGGGAAATCTCAGACCTCAGGCCTGTTTTATTTAAGAACACTGAAAGCCAAAGAGAATACTCTGGTCTACTCGAGTGTTCAATAAGCTCCTGAGGAGGAAAACCAGGTTTCTTTTGAAGGGCCTTCAGGGAATGGAGTCAATCTCATATGACCTTCCAAACCAGCTGCTTAAGTGTCCTAAGGGAGGGTGTGACAAAGGAAATCAATAAAGTTCTGCTTTAGTTGTGCCAATTTCCCATTCATCTCTTTCTTTTTTAGTAGCTTTCAAATCAATTAATGTTTTAAAACTCCTCCTGTAAGCCCCACACTTTCTTCCTGAATATCATCTGTCCTTTCAGTACTCCGATGTTACCTTTATGACAAGGGACCATGACAGAATTTTACTTGCGCTTTTTTTTTTCCCCCAGGTAAGAGTATTTAATTTAAGTTATTAATTGTCTTTGTTGTTTGCTTTTTTTTTCCCCTCCTTTTTTTTCTTTTTTTTTCCTTTTAGTTCTGAGGAGTGGAAGAAAGTCAGCAATTCAGAACGTAAGAGCTTAGGACTCACTCTTGAGAATGATGGAGAGTTCTGGTGAGTGGGTGTCATGTGAAGGGTTTGGAGACACTGGCTACGCTAAGTAACTGTCATTAATTCTGCCATTTAACAGCTTTGAAAACAACCTCCCCAAATGGATAAGATGATCCAGTCCTGGCACGAGGCCTGTTTCTTTTAAACTCTCAAGGGATGACAGAGAAGAACAGAAAAAAAATTGATTAAAAACTAATAGAACAAAATTAGTAGCTCTCAGTAAATAGAAGTTTCAAACACCCTCAAAATCTATTACCTATGTTTAGGACATTCACTCAAAATCCAAGACAACGCATGTGCTGATTTACATGACAGAATGCCAAATATTGAACACACTGTCAATCCTGTTTACTGACTACTGTGCCTATCATCTGTAGGATTTCTAGGTCAACCATGGCTGAGGTATCTGTAAATACAATTGCAGCCAATGAATTTTGGTATTTCTTGGTGTTTTCCAGCATGGGCATGAGAAGTGTTCATTTGCTACAGAATCGCTAGAACTCTAATAATTTTGACTCTGCTTAAAGCTTAGATACACCGCGGCAGTCCAGCGACTTCTTCAGTAGATCATCAATACTGCATCAAGTGTGTTGGTAGGGCTCAGTATGAAAAGTCTTCAGTTTGCTTGGCTTCGTCGGAACTGGCAACTGGAAGCCAGCTGTAGGGTTTGGTTCTGGGCCATTAATAAGCCAGGACACGATGGTAGTTCAGAGATACCAGGCTGTTAGAGGAGGTAAATGTTTTTTAACTGCTCTGCAATCCAGTCTGTCACTTTAGCAGGCACAGGTTATAGCGTTGAGATGGTGCTAAATAAAAGCTATGTCCAGAGTACAGAGGTTTGAGTCATGCTCAGGGACAGATGTAACAATAAGGACTGTAATAATGAGGAGTGGATAGTGCTTTGGTTGATGGTAATGTCTTTTGCCTTTGCAAAACATATGTTATCAAATCCAGCCTGGTAGATACAACCTATCTTTTAGGCTTAGGTGCTGCAACAGAACAAATCCAGCGCTGACCAAACACACTGAGGTGATATTTCTCTAAATTAAGTTCTAAAATAGTGTGACTGTGGCTTCACAAATATTTCCACATGGAGAGCTTTCCAGTGAATCAGTTTGTCCTCTGGACAGCTGAGCAATGCCTCCTCTTAAATTACTGGAAGATTTCATGTGTTATTTTGGCTCTTTGCATGAGTATCGCTGTTTATTTTTAAATAAACCATTACTTTCCTGGTGTTCCATGGAATAGGATGACGTTTGAGGACTGGTGTAAGAATTTCACTGACGTGGACATCTGCCGGATTGTGAATACCTCCTACTTCAGTATCCACAAGACCTGGGAGAAGAAAATGATGCATGGGGCTTGGGCAAAGAATTCAGAGCCCCTGCTAAATCGCTCTGGTGGATGCTTTGATAACAAAGAGACCTTCCTTCAGAATCCCCAGGTGGGAATCCCTGTATTTTGTGAGGTGTTGAAGTGTATCCACTTTAGCTAGGGCTTCTGAAGTATCCACCCTATTTAGGAGTTGGCAGTGACTACTTCACAGAAATCTCATTGCCAGCATCTGTCCTCTGGGAGTACGCTGGTTCACTGCATGTTCCAGTGATTTCTGTGAAATCTCTCGGAAGAGTTTAGATATTTGTTTAGGACTGATCATGTTTGGGGCTGATGAGTCAGACACACCAGGATTAGTGAAGTCCTGCCCGGACTCCTTTCAGTTTCCCAGTTGTAGAAAGGCAGCAAGTCTGATTTGCTAATGACAGAACTCCACTCACTTAACACCCTTGAACAGCCTGAGGATTTGATCTACTGTATTTAGTTAGTATCCTTTTGCATTAATCTAAGATTCTGAAAGTATCTAGTCTCTTCCCCAAGCTCACCCTCTCATTAGCATTACAGAATTTTCCTTGTCTCATCCTACCTGGTAACTTCCAAGCTATTCAGTTTATCTGTTCATCCATTCTTAGCCCATTTCTCACCTTCCTGCCCTTCTCAGTGTTGTACATTTTCATCCCAGTGCATGCAAATTCAGGCATAAAACTTCCATTACTGTCAATGAGAGCTGGGCACTTACTGCTTTAGTTATTACTTTGAAAATTGACCTTTCTGTTCTTTTGTAATTCACCACATACTTTGGATTGATTAATTAAAGATGTTATTGTGTCTGCTTCTCCGCGCTTGTATGGGAGGTTTCTGTCTGCACCCCTCAATTTCCATAGCAGGATATTGGAGAAGCGCAGCCTTTGCTGATCAGACTAGGAGTGAATCTCAAACTCCCAGCTCATCCTGCCAGATAGGTGTAGATGGAAAAGCAGTTACTGCTCCGTCTTCTGCCAGTGCCTCATTTCCAGAGGGTGATTTTATTCAGCTCTTCCCCTGTATGATTCTGGATGTATTCCAAGTGCTTGTCTGGGTCTCATTTCTAAGTGTTTAGCTGCCACAGAGAACAAAATATACACGTTGCGGTTGAGTGCAATGCCTGATGCAATGGAAGTTCTTTTTATTCCAGTGTTATCTCTAGGCTAGTTGATTAAAAGGCTCTTAATAGCAGCGCTGGAACACACTGATGTTAGCTTAGGGCTGTTATAAATTACTGTGGCACATACCGCCATAGTCTAGAGGTAATCTCGTCTGTTCTCCCTGGGTGAAATGGTTGACACTGAGGCCTCCTGTGAAGTTTATCTGCACAGAGAGGGATTGTGACACTTCCAGTCCCTTTAAAATAAGGGAATTTAAGCCAAGCATAAACGTATTCCTACAGCCACCTGCTGATTTCCAGATTGTTACCCATTAGGACAGCTGAAATGTCATCAGATTAAAGATCGTCACAGTTGCATACCTCTCACCAGACCAAGAGAGCTCTCTTGCACTCTCACAGTTCCCCTTCCACACCTCCATTTGTGCCCCGGAACACTCTAGGCTATCTGACAAGGTAACGCTGCATATGGTTCAACAGGGACAAGAATTAAAATGCGCCTTACTAGGTGTTGCTGCATATTTATATCTCGCTTTTTAGATTCTCTCTGCAGAGGCTCTTTACAACACCTAGGACTCTCTTCAGGGTCATGTGCTTTCTCTGCCACAATGTTGATATAGCACACAAATAAGAGTACAAAGAGGCATTGAATTTATACCAAAAAACAGCCAGCCCACAATAGCAAGCAGTAGTTCTGTAGGAGGCCAATCTGGACTGTAAATACCATGAACAACTGATGAAGCCCAGAGGCTTGGGAAGGTATTGATTTTCTTTCCAATACTGCTGTGCTTCAGCCAATTCTGCTACAGGTTGCTGTTTCCTCCATGTGGGTGTGACACTGCCTGAGACAGTGAGGGGCAGGGATGAGAAATGGGATGGTGCCTTATTCTGCAGAGCTCTAACCACAGAGGGATGTGAAGGCGTTACAGGGGACCAAGGCAATCTCAGTATCTACCTCGGAGAAAAGCTCAATGGGGATTTGCTTTTTAGCAGCTCTTGGAGGAGCAGGGACAGCGGAATTGAACCACTGATGATATTCCTCTCCATGCTGTCAGAGAATTTCAGCTTAAATCAGAAGGTGTGGTGCACATAGGACGCAGCTGTGCACCACTGCAGTTTTATGCTTTTATTTGTTTGCTTCACATTTAAAGGTCTTTGAGGATGGAAGAATACAGCATCTGTCTAGACTTGGCGTAAATGC